CACTACGAATGTACAAATGGAAGTAGAATGCGTGCCGCATCCCAAAAAGGGATTGATCAACGGCAAATGCTTTATCCTTTATCCTTTTACGCTTATCCAATGCAGTGGGGAGGGCCACCACCCTGCTGCCCTTGCGTCAGCACAGCTTCCTGTCAGAAAATCAAGTTTTAGCAGCTCGTACGATAATGATGGAAAGGGTCTGGTTTCCAGTTGCTCAACAAATTCACGGCCACGTGCGCTTTTCCCTTTATGGTAGCACGGGACAAACGTGTTTCTTGGAGCACCACCGCCTCACCCCCCCCCCCCCATTTGTGGAATTCGTGGATCATGATCTTAATGCCTTGATAGTCAAGCCAAAGAAAGGTGAATTTCGGACCCAATTTCATCACTGCGTGCACCTCTGGACTTGTATTGGTTAAAGTACATAAAGTAGTGGTCTAAGCGGAACGTTTTAAACGTTTTCTTTTTCGTGCATTACTTTTCTCCTGGGAAATACCTGAGCTTTGGTTGTTAAATGCTTTAAAGCAACCTCCAAGTCCTAATGTGTCGAGGTTTCGAAAAATCTAAAAACACCACCGATAACAATTTAAAGCGAACCTGTCCAGAGAAAAAAGTAATGCCCGAAAGTAATCCGACGAATACTTTTGAACGCATTTACAACCATACATTGAAAATTTATTGAAGACAGTGCTCTTTTTTAAAAGCATAGAAATGTCTCAGAAAAATCACCGCATACTACTTAAATTTGCCACTCACCAGATATACATTCCGCGATTGATTTTGTTCAGATAATCTCTACCATAAGTGAGATTGCTCAGCTCGCATCCGTGGTCATAGGGTTACTTTTGTAACATCGAACCTAGAAATTTGAAATTGAATGGTTGTTCGTAGATGCAGCAGTGGTCACTCAGAAAACAAGAGCTTCATTCTAAGAAGTTGGGGTGCAATGGGTAAAAATACGCCACAGCTCATGCAGACGCATGAAGCTGCGCAGACCAGGATGAACATCGTGTCCAGGCAATGACCGCAGTAATACAAGCCTCCCACCTCGCTAAGGCCTCGTAATGACCTCCTTCCCCCGCTGTGAATACAACCCCCTCTGGCTCCTCCAAAATTGTCCTCGAGCAGCGGGGATGGGTGAGGGGTGAAGCAGCATGTGTAGAGGGGGGAGGAAGATCATGTGTGAATTGTTAACATCAAACGTAACATTGTAGGCTGCTATTTGGTTTTCTGAGGGGCTGAATTGTGTAGTGGCAAGCGGTGCTCCTTACCCACCTATCCTCCCCTCCCCCCAGGTATGGGTATCTAATCCCGGACGTGCGTCGATCAGAACAATTCAAGTCTTTCATCCCTCCGACCTTTAAAAATTGCTTCAGACTTCTCCAGGACGAAGAACATGTACGCTACGTCGGCTGTCTCCCACAAGTCACTGTAAGGCCAAACCGCATTCGAGGAGAAAGGATGGAAAACACGAAACTACCGAAAAAAATGTGAAAGATGCAACATGCCGCCCCGTGGGACGAGAGCGGTGGTAAATAATCAATCGACTCCCCGCCCTGCCACCCCTACCACCCATTTCCCGCTTAGAAGACTTCGATCAACGCAGTTGACCCCCGAAGCGCCGATATAACGGATACCCAGGCTGAACCTAGTGAAGCTACGCTGGTCGACCCTAACAAGGTATGAAAAAAAGAAATCTTCACAGGAACCCAATACCCCAGCGGCCTAGCAAGGCCATACTCCGCGCCGCTAGCGCCGCTGCCCGCCCCATTCCTCGACGTCGCCTTTTAGAGTCATTCGATAGAGAGAGCATTAGTCTTCGGAAAGGCAGCACCGAGTGAGCCGCATTGCTGCACGAGAGAAAAGGGGCTTATTTCTCGTTTGTGAGCTGGTCCTTATTGTGTTTTTCGTCGTCCCTGCACCACTGACCATCTCTACCTTGATCTTTTCATCATAAACTCCGCTTCTGAAAGGTCTCCACACCCTGAATGGCCAACTTCACATTTCGAATAACCAGTAATACGTATCCTTAAACTGAAAACAATAGAGTGGAGAAAATGAAAAGCCAAGGAAAATGATAGCATTTCCTGTAAAGCTAATCCAACCGTGCATCAGTACGATTCCAGGTTACAAATCCCCCTTCCTCATCTGTGACGCCAAATATTAACCCATATCGAGTCAACCAGATGGGCAGCTGACCTGTGTAAAAGGAACCTCATGCAGTGTTCTGTGTGCTTCAGCGTTCTTTAGAGGCTAGGTCCCTTGACCAATACCCCTGCGTATCTTGTGGGTCACTTTCTTTCCCTCATTCTTCTCGTCCATGTGCGATCTTATTTGTGACTTAATCCCTCCTCCAAACCTCATACAAGCTTATTGGGAAGGAGCTGCGAAAATTTAGGTTCATTGCATCCATTTTCAACTTCTCTTGGCTAAAATCATTTAAAGCTATCCCATTTAAAGTGAAATTGGAGTGGATTCTATGAAACATCAATAACTGAAACACCAAAGTACGGGGTGTTCCATAAATACTGCACCACATTTTGGCTTAAATTCTACGGGGTGTTTATGTCTCTTCCTCCGAGATTGGCAGACCTTTTGATCCACCATCCTTTTTGCGTCTAAACTTCACACGGTGCTTAATCTTTCGCAACGCTAGGTCGGACATCCGATGATAAGCATTGCAATTCTTCGTAATTTTGACCGCTCTGCGGCCTACCGCGCACTGTAGAGAAGGACCATAAATGAAGGCTCCGTTGCATCTTGGTTCTCATGAAAAGCATGATGAAACGGATCGACTGCAATACCGAGGTTGGCTTGAGAAAGATGACCAGAACGCTGAGATCTTTGAACAGAATCATATGGAGAGTGGTCTTACAACAAGTGCTTACAGTCCAGGTAAGCTGCAGAAGCGCTACAGCAAAACCGAATCAGAGGCGCGGCAGACACAAAAACTGTGAAGAGCTGGCGCAGGGGCCGAAAAAGGTATTACGTGGGCATCATTTTCTTTGAAGGCAAAATTCCCACAGTAATGAGGAAGCTATTGAAAGAGGAAGGGAGAGCCGAACCTCATCATGATATGAAACGGTCTCAACTACCCGTCACTACCCACCACTGCCTGTGTAAAAAGGAATACAACTCGATAGTAGACCTAGCTAGGGGACATCTCGGTGCACCATCTGCTACTGAGGTGTCACTTCAGCGTCGACTTTAACAGAAGCCAACCCCAACGAATTCTGCAACTCTTTTTGAGGTCCTCCAATAAACAAAGTGCCATCCAATACAATAGTGACGGTCATCAAGCCACTAGTGCATGTCACGAAAAAAAAGGGACGAATCTTCATTTGTACATCGGCGAAAAAACCGTCAACAGATCACAAAGAAATTTCTTTGTAACTGAACAATGAACACAAGAAAACGTACTGATAAGGTACATAACGGAGGTAGGACGAGACGAATCAATATCGATCGAAGGTATACGGGGATTCGAGGGCGGGGATTGATCACCGAGTGCTGTAGAAAAACTGAATACACATATACATATCGAGCGTTTCACAACGAGAAATTGCACACATACACACAGGAAATGATGTAAAACCTTAGTATCTATCAATGCCATGCTTAGTCAACAATGAAAACAGAGTATAATAAGAATACCAGTATTGATGACAGACAAGTTGGCACAACAAAAGCAAAACGATTTCTCAAATAGTCATAGGGTATCAGCCAGGAAAAAGAAATGAAAAGCATGCATCTATGACTCGGCCCAAATGACCTACCAATACCACTAATTCCTCTATGCCTCTGAAATCTAACTAACGATACAACTGTCTATAGAGCAATGAAACTGAATTACTTGACGTCAAATGATGAACATCCGTTTGGTGAATGATAAATCTGCTAATCAATAAATCAATACCAGGTTACGGCTTCGTAAACATAGTATAGTATATAATATGAAAAACTTATTAATACATAAATGTGTGCACATATAACAGTGCGCCGTTCTAAATCCCTGAAGCATATATGTATCCGTCATTCGGCTACTTACAACTCACATACAAATGGACTTTCACGGGGCTAAGAAATATCAGGACTACGCACACTAGTAGGAATAGTCCTCAGCAATGCAGTCCCATTCAATAAAAGCATCTACAGCGAGTCGTGGACTGCACGCGCCGCATGCAAAAAGGGCCTGTAACTGGCGGACAGTTTATGACAACCAATCACGACTACGCGTCGTTCAAGCAGTAAATAATGCGCCCCATCAGCCCTCGGTCTCCAATAGAACTTATTCTAAGAATGGACATATACCTGAACCGATAAATATACAAAAGCTTGCGATCACCTCATATTGGTTTGGTGCTATTTCTCCTTGAAACAGCCCCTGGGCTACGAATTCGCTTGGTGCGACTAAAGCACACCTCGTCACCTATTTTCAGGTAGCCCCTTGACTCATACTACTGCCACCGGGCCTATGTGCCATCTGACCATTGACTTTTCGCCACATGTTGTTACGAAATAATTCTAACCCAAGAGAAACAGACGACATGAAACTCCTATGTATTTCTCCTAAACCACGGAGGGAACCTTTACGTTGAACGGTCTTACGAGAATGACTCTACCGGTTAGTAGTCATCACAATATTACTGGGAAATGTAATACCAGCCTGATTTCTAGAATAGAACTCTCAGGAAATTAAAATTCAAAAGAAATGAGGCAGATTATTTTTTGGACTTTTCTAATAGAAGTACACATGGGAAAACTCTTCTAGCCACTAGAAATTAAAATAAAAGGAAATTATCAGAATAAAAATACACTAACATGAAATGTTGTTGACCGGATGAGATTTTGAACGCAATACAGACGCGTGGATGTAAGGAAAAGCAGTTGTTCAGAGATCAGCCAGATACAGTACCCCGTAAATGAGACAACGGAGTAAATGGGGAGGTAGACCGATGAGGGAGAGGTGAGAAATGTCACACGGATGGCTACAACGAAATTCACGCCCGTTTCATGCAGAGTTCCTTCACAAACGGATCCACCTCCCAATTTTTGAACAATTCCATCACTTGCATGTTCTCCTCATTCTGAGCCAGGATATTCTGAAATGTGCGCGTATCAAATCTTTACAAGAGAAGCAATATCAAAAGGATTAAGTAAAGAACAAAACCATCAAAAAGCGAGCAAAAATTCGAGCGCATGAAGTGCAGCGGCAGGTGGCGCCGTAAAAAAATCGCAAGTTTCGCTGGTCAGACCTCAGCTCGAACTTCACGCAGGCCAACGAAGCCTTCTATCCCTCCGGGATCGATCAATGAGGACCAGACTCGTTTGGCAGAGCGAAAGCGCTGACTTCTAAATCGGTAGGCCCCTGCCAGTAATTTCAGAATCCAGACCACATTCAAGATACCACAACGCCGAACGGAAAATGGAAGCGTAGCACATTGCGGGGAAGGTCTGATCGAGGCCGAACGCTTCAACGTTCCCTCTGAAATGGCGGATAGGCTTGCTAAAACTGTAGTTATCACTAATCATAAAAATTCAATCATCTAGATACTGTCACCATTTTCGCAACCACAATTGAAGCATTGGAACTGAGAGTAAGGAAGAACTCCAGTTATGGTAATGCCTGACACAATATGTACACTTTGTTTTCGGTGAATAAGAGTCACGGCCACTGGCCCATGTGGTCAAGTCTGACTGGGGGTGGTATTTTGTGGTTTTGAGAAGGAGGGAGTTGCATTTGGCGAAATGGGGCCATATTTCCAGAATGCATGATAGTGGGGAGGAAGATGAAACTGGAGCAGGTGCCCCGAAACGAGAATAAATCCAGAAAATAAGATTTCGGCAAAACTTGGTACTTCCAGTTCTACACTCTCCGTCTTCTCCCTCCCTTCCTCCCTTCCCTCCTTGCCACATGCTCGACACACTTTTGGGAATTTGAAGAAGGAGAATGCATTAAGTTATACTAGGCTTAACGACAAATCGCCACCACCTAATCGGAATGAGTAGGGGGGGGGGGAATAGTGCACATTCGAGGTCTGCCAAACGCTACGAGGTTGCTTAGGTCGCAAATCCAGACCTAGCCACAAACATTATATTTGAAAGTATGAAAAGCGCGCAGAGCAGAAAGAAAATCACATGTTTATCACTGGTTCTGTAACCACGACACCCTAGGTTGCTGGCTAGCCTTAATTTCAGCGATAACAGAAATTTTGAAGACCACTGATAATATTGATGTTAGTAGCAGATAAGTTGAGTTATTTCCACATGTAGCGCAAGGAAATCAAAATAAAGGTACATTCTCCGGAAGTATGGTAACAAACATAGTTATGCATTAACTAGTTTAAGAAAACTTATATGTCGTATTTTTCCCTTTCCGTGGGCGCAATTCGAAACATGTTTGCGAGAAGTGACATTTCCTATTCACGTGATTTTCAGCGCTACCACACCCCTCGCCGTTAATATATGTGCTTACGCCGCGTACTTTTCACAATACCAACAATCATTGGGACGATTACCAGACTGCAAAAAGTCGACGCTATCAGTAAAACATCAACAATTACCTGTATACTAGCTGTCATCATCAGAAGGCTGCCATATTTCTGTACACCGGCCGCCATGCCGAGCTTATTTGTGATACATGTGAATAATGCACTGAGATACCTATTTCTCTCCTCATACACGTGCGGTTTAGCTTGACTCGATAAATCGAGCGCGTCTAAAAGTGTAACATGTACAAGTACCACAGAATGTTCACCTCACAAACAAAATAAACGAGCACGTGAGAAGAAATCGGTGAGAACTTGTACCGGGATTGAAAAACAATGCCGCCTTGAATGTGGCGAACTCGGATACCGATAGTTGAAGCCGCCGAAATGGCAACATTATCTCGTCCATCTGCCGTGTGTAAATCGGGCGACAACCGGATAATTGTACCTGAAAAAAAAGCAACTAGTGCCAAATATGCCGCTAGAAACCCAAAACGATGTTCAAGTCTATGAGAAAGAATTCATTCCCAGAAAAAAATCGCGTAATAATTCATTCTTAGAGGTGCGTAGATTAATTAGCTCACGGCGAAGTAACTAATGGATTCCTAAGGAAGCAGGACGGAGGAGAGGGGAGTAACATAGCAGCATTGAAGTACTCGACTGGAGGCCAGTCAAGCAGCGGGAGTTCACAGACGCAGGCGGCTCAGCGGACGAGTTGTAGCAAAAAATCAGAGCGGTACGCACTACGGCTCGTCCACTGACCCGTCTGCGTATCTGCATTCTCACCGCATGACAGGCCCCTGTCGGGTACCCAAATTTTCTTGCGTACAGCTGACTTTACAGGGAGGTGCATGTACTATAGCGCTGCCGCTTTCACATAAACCCCTAGGTGCTTCCCTGCAAGAATTGAAAGGCTCCCCCACTTTCTTCACGATTTGGGGCGCGGCCGCGGCGAGCGCGGCCGAGTCGATAGTGCCCGCGAACTGTGTGGGTAAATTTGAAAACGCTCACCACCACAGTTCGCGGGCACTATCGACTCGTCCGCGCTCGCCGCGGCCGCGCCCCAAATCGTGAAGAAAGTGGGGAGCCGAATTGAAAGTATACCAGCTGACCCAACTGTCGCCGCACATGCCCTCCTCCTATTGGAATAGATTCGAAGACCAGTCGTATGGAAAACACAACATATGTAGCATTGAAAAAGATGTAACAGCGTCTATAAACAGAAACAACAAAATATACCTGTTGTTGTGGTTGCCGCATAATGAAGGCGCCGTTTTGAAACACAATTTTATCGGGGCCATGATCAGGTGAATAGAATACTCGATTGAGAAGATTGAATGCGAACGCAAAATTGCGGACCAATGCAAACTGTAAACCTGATTTCAATTTCTGTACGAAAAATAACAACTATGCAACATAAAAATTAGATTCCATAATAATTCGCCCTTATCACCACGATATACGCTTTTTGCCAGACTCAGATCACATCGAAGGAGTGCTGTGCAAATGTCGAAGAAAGCTGTGAAATGTGGTCAGTCGTCATAAGCGCAGAGAGGAGGAACTAAAGGTGCGGTCGGGAAACAGAAAGAAGTTTCACAGTGGGGCACGACAATCGCTTGTCTGCGTTTTTGTGCGGAAAATGTCGTTTTTCTTGAGAAATGGATGCGTATTGATTGGGACACAAAAAACATTTTACGAAAAAATTCAACACGAAATGTTTCGGTGGGGATACTTCTGACAATTTTCACTAAATACGCTCGCGCCGACCGGATGTTTCTCAGTGTCACCTCAGTGTCGCCTGTAAACTTTCCTGCAACGAACTAGTAAGCATTTCTGTATAAGCACGTACTAGGGCCAAAGGCAGAAATCATTCCGCGTCTGATTTTCTTGACTCTTGGTCTGACCTTTCTTTATTCCTGATCTGAACCGTTTTCTGGCCATTGACGTGACTCAAGTGGTAATTGCTCAATAACCGGTAATTTGTTAGTAAGACTAATGATTTCGAAGTTCAGCTCTTCCATAATTACCGCCACTGGAAACCTTGAAGCGATTACCCAGTACATTTGATGAACCCGGCAAGATGACTCGAGTGGTAGCCATAAAATCATTGGCTAACATGAACTAAAAGGTTCCACAGGGCACTAAGTTCAAGTATTAGACCCTATCAGCGACGTCAGTCGTTGGTTAAGCAGGAAATATCCTATTATAGGGCAAAGATCAGCTCCCATGGTGAAAGGTGGTTGGCACGCGATTTAAGAGTTGCACTTATTCATCACTGCTAACCGCCGGAAGCCATTCAGCTTTCGTCGACGGGGAGTCCAAAAGAACCAGTCGGGAGGCGTTGGATCAAAGATTCCGGCCATAGTCCGCAACTTCTTGCATCCAACGAATGTATGCCCATATAACCAGACTAGTAACCAGTTTTACTCAACAGATGTTCCAAATCACGCCAACACCACGGTCAGCTCAGCGATATGAAAGGGAGCATAGTTCTACTGAATTGAAGAAGATGCACAAATCACTCACTTGATCGTAATGTGAAAGTCGTTGGTAGGCGTCGAACGTCTTGCCCCATTCAATGCATATCCTCATTTCTCGAATGTTCCACATACGTATATCGTTCATCGAAGCCGGATACAATTCTTTGAATACCGTACTGGGCTTAAAAATTCACAATAACGATTATTGTAGAATATCTCATACCTATGACGCCTTACGCGCTACCCTCACGGACCATGTCAGATCAGGGTTAGGCGCGGTTGATGAGAAATCCCTACTATATATAAAGCGCTATGTCTGTCTGTCTGTCTGTCTGTCTGTTTGTGTGTGTATGTTGTGTGTGAGTGTGTGTGTGTGTGTGTGTGTCACGAAATTCATAGCTCGCTTCCTGCAGCGATGGAGCGCTGTATTTTGAATATGATATAGGGGGTGGGAGGGAACATATTTGGTGGGGGTCAGAAAGTGATAACGACTGATAAGATCTGATAAGAGGCGCTGAAACGCAAATTTCACGAAATTCATAGTGCGTGTCCCAGCAGCAGTGAGGCGTTGGTTTCAAGAAGTGATGTAGAGGGTGGGACGGGAACATATTTGGTGGGGGTCAGAAAGTGATAACGACTGATAAGATCTGATAAGAGGCGCTGAAACGCAAATTTCACGAAATTCATAGCGCGCGTCCCAGCAGCAGTGGGGCGTTGGTTCCAAGAAGTGATGTACAGGGTGGGACGGGAACATATTTGGTGGGGTACAGAAGTGATAAGGGCTGATAAGATTGATAAGAGGCGCTGAAACGCAAATTTCACGAAATTCATAGCGCGCGTCCCAGCAGCATTGAGGCGCTGTCCCTCAGATATGATATAGGGGGTGGGACGGGAACATATTTGGAGGGGGACAGAAGGTGATAACAGCTGATAAGATCCGATAAGAGGCGTTAGAATGCAGGTGTCGAAATCCATAGCGCGCGTCCCAGCAGCATTGAGGCGCTGTCCCTCAGATATGATATAGGGGTGGGACGGGAACATATTTGGTGGGGGACAGAAGGTGATAACAGCTGATAAGATCTGATAAGAGGCGTCAGAATACAGGTGTCACGAAATCCATAACCCGCGTCCCAGCAGCAGGGGGAAGTTCCAGGAAGTGATGTACAGGATGGGACGGGAACACGTTCGCTGGGGGACACAAAGTGATAGGGGCCGATAATCACAATATGCGTAGGACCATAGAAATCGCTTATAACCATATTCTAGATAACGCATTTCATTACAATATCATCTCATTCGTCATCAACATAAAATACGTTCGACCGCTACAGTCCCAAAGTCCCTAAGAATGTATGATGGATGTTTAGCGATATACGATAATGGTATTTCTATTGCAAAATCATTGGCATCAATATTATTCGACCGCTAAATCATCCTGACATCCAATGCATGGTGGTTGTTTACAGACACCACTTTAGCTCCGCACTCCACCGCGCGTATCAGACGGTTGGTTAAAAATGGGCATTCTGTAGAAGGCCAGCTAACGCATTTCACGAAGCAAGTTATTGTTTAGCGGCGGAACCTAACGCTCCACCGGCTGGCCAGCTTTACGAGCCCTTCCGTGTCATGCACGCGGTAGTGTGCGGAGCTAAACTGGTTTTCGATAGCGGTTACAACCTCAAACATCTCCTGCCCTCTCACCCTTACTACCTGCTTACCCCGCATACTCTCCTCATTCTCCCTGTTTTTTACGCTCGCACCCCCTCCCCTCCAGCTGGTGGAGTCTTCGAAAGGGAGGGATCAGGTAAAACCGTATCTCACGAAAACCACCAGGTAACCCTGCGTCGCAGATTGATCGTTACAATAAAAAACATAGTGCTACAAATATTCCAAATTGGCTGCAGCAATATAATGCAGAAAATGAAGAATTCGAAAAAAGCCCATTGTTGGAGCATCAGCTTATGAGGATAAGGCCAACCTAGGCACACTGGCCCAAGGCTGAGTGTGCTTACTCGTATACCCTACCTCTATCGGTATAGTACACAACAAAGTGTTTACTTGACTGACAGTAACGTCACTGCATGGTTAGCCCGTAGTTGGCGTTGAGCCCAATCGCGCCACGTATAGAAAGAAACTATTTCTGCTACTGTACTCACATCTATCGTAAGTTCGGGTGTCTCGAACAGAAGGCACGGGGAAGATAAAGCTTGCTGAACCGTGGACACATCACGCATCACACAACGTCGTAATTCTTGGCATAGTCCTTCCACTTGTGTTAGGTGCTCCACGATCTCCTGAACGTGAAAATCTCCGATGAACATGTTTCAGACAACCTCAGCACTGCGATTACTATCAAGCATTTCACGAGCCATACCTGGTCTTGCATCCGGTGGGGGGTGACCGCTTGATCCTCATCTGACCCACTACTCAATTTTGCCTTCTTTGTCGGACCGATGCGATCTCGATCGTTTTGAATAGCTGTAAAATCAATTATATTTCCTAAAAAGTACTGAAAATCACAAATCGAAAAAAGTAATTTCAACACTTTGACCACGAAGCCCAATTTAGATGCATATGCTGTGTGGAATTCTGCAGCCTACATGTTACTTAGGCTTTTCCTTTGTTTCTTTTTCTTGTTTGTTTGAGAGCACTCCTCTTTGACTTATAACTATACCAAAGTCGAGGTCTTGCGCGGGCGAAAAACGTAAATCTGCGCAGGGTTCAAAGTGCAACGATTGTCCCGTCCTTAACCCTTTGACGACCGTGTGGCCCGCCGGTGGGCCACACTTTCGCTCGGTGGCGACACGTTTTTAGGGGTTTATTTTGGCATTTTTTATGTTTCAAAACTACACAAATACATTATCGAATTCGCGGAATAATGCGCTAATTACTAATAGTGAAATTGTTGGAGAGTTAATGATTATTGATGAAAAAATTTAGAAAGAAGTGAAGTGACGCATTCATAACGGCGGTCGTCAAAGGGTTAAAAGTATGGGTCCTGATTGAATTTGTGTGCTGTTTCATCCTAAAATTGCACAAAAAGTGCGAAGAAGAACGATAGTGAAAGATTTTTCGAAATGACACGTACTGTGAGTAGAGCAACGTGAGAAAGCACGTCTTATACGAGAGGGCGCAGACGCCATGTATGCTGCAATTGAGAAGGGTTGCAGCGGTCGCAGCGGTCAAGCGAAGGCAGCGTAAATTCTTTGTCGCGCTTCAATTCACGACTGTTCCACCCACCACCTTATTAGTGGTCCTGCTGCCTCACTCAAGGAGAAGATTTCTCTAAGACGCGCTTCGCAATCTGTACTTTTGAAGAGTAATAGCAGATAATGGACGGACGGAATTCTTCATTCTTTGCTGGCTATCTTAGTCCCTTTGTCTTAGATCTCCCATAAAAGAACCTAGTCCGGAAATCGGTGGACCCTGAAGGTGCTTTGTCACTGTCAAGTAGCGGCAAGCCATGCTGTAACGCTTTTGTGGCAAGCCGTCTTGTGCCCATTTTGACTGAAGCCTTCTCTGGCAAAAAAAAGTAACGAAAAATAAGTTAGTTCAAAAATTTGAAGTGCTGCTAAGCCGTCTAATCTAAGTTATGGACGAGTTTCAGCTTTACTTTCTAAGCTGACCCTACTGAACTGCTGTCGGATTTCGCTCAAAAATTAACCACGCTGTACACTTGTGAGATCTCTAAAAGATTCCTTTCGACTGTAGCCTAATTGCGCCACTCACTATACCACCCGATGCACTACTTTTGAGTGAAGCAGCTTTTAGCTATTCGAAAATCCACATAACGCGAGCCCTTGCTATCGTGTAGAAAGCATAAAAAGTTTTAATTTCCTGGCTCTGTGAAGCGAATGTTATCCGACAAATTCCAAAGTACAAGCTAGAAAAAACATGACATTGATTGGAAAACGTCACCTTTCGCGTCCATGCCCACGGCCAGGCATTTGTTGAAACGGCAATGTCGGCATGCACATCGTATATCTGAAAAGTATTGTAATTGTGTGCAGTACAAAAGTTGCCCGTTAGAACCTCATGGAAAATTGCTTAAAATTGATCGACACCACATTACTACTTGCACTTTACTGCAAGTAGGGTAAAACGCCAAAAAAGACATAAAGCCTGTTTTGAACCAATCCTGGGTGTGCGCCACGCATTTATCTTCTATCGGGAAGCAAGACTTCAAGCGTTTTTCGCACATAGAGCAATTTGTAACATCCATTCAAAGACAAAATCAGTGTCACTATCCTCTTCAAATGAACTAATCTTAATAAACTCCAGCTGGTGGAAATACTAACAATGTATAGGTAGGTGGCTGTAGAAATATGAAGTTCTGCACTATTGAATTTAATTACCTCAAAATCACATTTTCATAACACGTTAGGACAATTGGAAATGACCTAAAAGTGCTTCAACAAAACGTGTATGAATGTGCAGCTACCGTGACAGCACGTAACAGCACATGGCACAGCACTTCTCGTTTTGCACTTTATTCTGTTAAATCGAAGCAATAATTTGTTCCAGTGCGAACTAATCCTGAAATCGATAGCGGGAGTCGATTCGGACCGAAGCATTTCGGTCAGAACTTCCAAGTTACATGAGCGAATAGTATTTACAAATCGCTAACGCTCCGGCCTACTATGGCAAGGCTTCGGCCAAAAAGATGTACATTCAACTCTAACCTCCATGGCCCTATGAAGCTTATCCTATTCCAGAGATGGCGCTCTCGAAAAAGAGCATTCGCTTGCTCGCCATGTTCCCCTGGGAGCTAGAGACATAAAGATCAACCGAGCAATTTTACAAAGAGCACGGGAGGACGAAGCAAACGAACCAACGACCCGTAGCTTAAATGTAGACGGATGCGAGTTCGACTGAATACCTTACCGTCAATATCACCAAAATCGCAGGCGCGACACCGCAACTGGACCTTGACCTGTTCCATAAACCATGAATTTTTCCTTTGGACTTTCGCCATAATGGACATAGGGTATCTAATAGATCCGGCGTTTTGCAGAGCAGCAATCCTACTTTAATGAATTTGGTTGGGGTAGGACACCAGTATGGGTGCGCAAATTTGAGCGTTGAAGACTTATTAGATACCTACCAAAAAGCTTACAACTGCCCAGACTTCAAAATGAACTTTAAAACTGACTTTAAAATGAAACATTGGTAAATCGATAGAGCCTGGAAGGCTGGCTACAAATGTGTAGTCCAAAACTGCTACGTAAATCTGTCAAGGGAGTCATGGATGGTCGAAGTTGGTCGCAAATGCTACGTTGGTTCAATGATGCTCAGTAGAAGCCTTTTTGCAAGGTATACTAATGGCCCTGGTTACGAATACAAGATCCATTTTTGGCGTTGGCGCCATATGGTTCTGAGGAAGCGCCCCTGAGACGAAAAAATTTTTTGATCACAGGGAATCATGGGACCATTTTATTGCTCACAACTTCCGTGGCAGGCTTACGCAACAGTTTTGGCCTATGTAACAAGTATGCCATGCTCTATCGATTCGCGGAGGCCGGAATTGAAACTTTCACGGGAAGTTGTTAAAAGCATTCCTTGTTAGTAAATCTTAGTCGGGCTTGATCTTTCGAGAGCATACGAGTGACAAGTGGCGCTCCTACTTACTACGCTACCTCAGTCCCGAGCTGTAGCGATAAGAAAAAAGTAACGCAGTGCTCTTTGGTGTGTTTTCGGGTCATGCACGTGTTGCGGCGATTCGAAACGTTGTTGGCACTGCATTCTTTCCACGGCTGCGTCGCTTTCTTTTGCCACGCCACTAATGGCGACTTTTCTGTTGTTTGTGCCGATGCCGACCCGACACTCTTCCTCTCTCCACACCCGCATTGTTGGTTGTTTGCGCGCTCAGCTGGTCACCTGACAAAACGCAAAAAAAATGAAACTAAACATCTTCACAAGAGCTGTCTTATGACAAACAAATGTGCACGGCATACACACACGTACAACACTAATAAATGTCGGACCATATCCTATTTTTATTTCTGATAGAAATAAATATTCACTGAATAAAAACTGATTATGTTTGTTCACAGTCACGTCAATTTTTTTTCAATCTGAATAAATATTTATGAGCACTACAAGTTGTTAGACCAACAATTAATTTGACTGTGATACAATATCACCAAATCATTGCCAAATCCATCGAAAAACCTTGATTGCTAACTTGTTTTGTAAGAAGAGTGAAGAATTTTTTTCGAAAGCTTTTGAGTTTTTTCCTGCTTCATGTGTGCTAGATATACCCTTCCTTTAACATCTACCCTCCCTCCCCTCGTCAGTCAGCTTGAAGTACATTTTTTGCGTAGAACAAATGAGTTCGGTAGTTGAAAAGATGCGAGTAGGACTAGGAAATGAAAGTGAACCACGGAGTAGAACTCCAGCTGGGGGCTATCGGTGAAAGGTGGTTCTCATTAGTCGAAATTCCTCGACACTTCACTCATCTTGATTGCAAAGCATTACAAATAAATGTGCAATAAAAACAGTGAATACGATAGATAGTGGGCGGTGCGGTTTCGATAACGTTTTTGAAGGTCATTGGTGGAAGGGCGTGAAAGGAAGTCACAAGTTCGCTGTCACCACGCAGGAATCTTCCACAAACGATGTTCAATGACGTTATCGAACACTCCACCTTCCAACGGTCGTGTTCACGGCCTTTAAATCCTGCAAGAGGGTTTAGCGCGTGTGACGATACCTGCCTGTGTCAGCTATGTGCTATCCTATGAAAGTTGTTATGCGCTTACATAAAACTTAAACAGTGTTTACTATGCAAAATAACCAGTCAAATTTTCAATATCGGTGCGGATTACAGGAAGGTGGGAAAAGTGAGCCTCTTTTCCCAGTACTTGGTAATGAACGACATGGAGGCACTGCAGGGTGAAAGAGGTTTTCTGAGAAACAAAATTGCTGGTGATGGTCATGAGTACAGCAGGGGCAATCTCAGCTAATGAAGGCATCGCCTGGCACGATGAGCGTCGGGCTCTTTATAACACAATCTCTTCGCAAAATACGTTGTGCCTGGGAGGGAGAAAGTCGTATCGAGTGGGAATGTGAATGCATCTTCAGAAGAAGTGGAACAGATCATGGATTACTAAAATTTAAGAAAATTATGGTGAACAAAATTCACAGAAATTTTGAAATTTTCAGTGTTCCTACGATAACATTAGACCAACTCGCCGTACTTCGTAAGGGTCGATGGGGGTTACGTTACACCGTAAAACAAGATCAAGCATAGCGCCCCAAAATTTCCTAGTACGACCCGTCCCCATCTCCGCCCATTTTTCATTTCCGAAAATGCCAAGGGGAAGAAAACGGAAAGCAACGGAAATATCTATTTACAACTGAACAGTAAAAATGCTCGAATACCTCCTGTCTCAAAAGAACCCAAAGGCAAACTTCTTTATGAGAGCGCGCGACAAATGCTTGACCCTGGGACCACAACTGTTGTGGACTGTACGGTTTTACAACTCCAACCGCTTCACATCTTCGATGGCTGATATGGATGGTGTCACTTAGCTTGGTAATCTGGTTCCACCTGACAAACTTTCAACCCCGTCACCAAAACTCTAAAACTCCGTCCATGGTGAAGCTATATGACTATTGAAACAACTAAAATTGTGGGGATTTTTCATAATTTCTTTAAATATAGCCAACGGATTTCTAATATCTCAAAAAACTCCTCTTCCCATGAAATCCAGGAATACATCCCCTTCCATTCAGATACTAAACCTCTCAAGAACAGAAAAATTCGATCCCTCGCGTCTAATTGAGTCAGACGGCGGTGGATTGGCTCCGCTTGGAAAGGGTAAAATATCTGGAACATCTCCTCAACGGCATATTGTCCACTCGGGGTGCGATGCGTTGAGACTTTCACATTCTTCGATGAGAGAACGTGTTTCCAGTGAATCCACTGCGGTCCACTCTCATTCTCATCTTGGCAAGGTCGTGACGTATACGCACGCCAATCAGTGCATTTATATCCCATGCCCATGTAACCCTCGTGCGCTCCTCTCCCGTGCATTATTTATTCACACTTGTCTCCAATTCCATGCCCATAACTCTTCAACAACACACTATTACGGTAATAATAAGTATTACAGATAATTATGCACAATTCATGCATGAAAACAGCGCTCACTTTTATTGACGTCACAGTTTCCATTGTACTGGCAGATGAACGTTTGCTCGCTAACTATCGTCCTTCGGAAGAACGTCTTGCTAAAATGATCAAATTTAAGAAGCGTTCATTAATCAAAGCATATTCTCGTCTAAGCCGATCATCTTTTGGCTTCAAAGCCGCCGATCTTTGTTTCAGCCCAACCCCTGCAGTAGCGCTACTTCCGTACCCTGACGTCACATCGCTGATCGTTATTGCATGAGAGCTTCCGGAGGCCGTTTGCCTCAACACACCACTCCCATTTGAAGGCTATTCACACAAATCAGAAACAATCGATGAAATCGATGACTCTTCTTCGAAACAAAACCGTGTCCCTATTGTATTACATTTAATATATGCTAAGCGTTGAAACTTTATTGAAATGACACTGTTGGGCGAAAAGGACAGGCTGACGCAAATACACGATTTCTCGTTGCCGACGGGAAAAAACCGAATATACTTCCGTGTCTCGAATGTTTGGGACAGCCAGGTGTGAATGAATCGGATAACATTAATTTTCGTTCTCAGCCAACAGCCTTCAAAAAAGTGCTGCTGTGATACGATGGCATTATAGGTCAACAACACCTACCTCTCAGTCCCCTTTTTTCTCGAAACTTATCGTATAAGAGCTTCAAAACATCGCCATACCGGGGTAAAATTATCACAGTAGAAACCGTAAGGCTCATAAGATGTGGTTGGATGAGGTGAATTATAGGTTAGAGGACCTATAGTCGCTATAGTCGCTCATTTTCACAACTAGTTAAGCAGTAGAAAATGAGAGCCCACAGCTTATAATTACGTGAGAAGCGGCAAAATGGAGACATTATCCATACGAATAACAGAGAAGGGGGATGTGCACTTGTGGACAATAACTGGTTCATGCGAATTACGGTAATTCCAACTTTTGAAAAGGCAATGAGCTTCAGGAATTGTCAAATGCCCGTTCACGATTTCAATTTGATTCATCCCCTTGAGGGATCTCTAAATAAGGCCCCTCGACAATATGTGACGTCAACAGCCTTCTTAAACCTGCCACCACCTGACACACATTACCCCTCCCCCAAAAATGCTCCATAACTGCTGCTTACCGCGATGGGGTAATGTATAGCTCTTGAAACAACAAATTCTGCACACTTCCACCCATTTCAATATTATTATACCACAATCATGACCGGTTCCAAGAAACACAGGTATGACCCCTTACTCATCCGAAATGTTGGGAAATCCCAACGGACGGTTCACCTGAGGGAATCTGGGTATCCATTTAGTTGGGTACCTTTTTTAACGTTTACAATAAAAGAAAATATTTTCCCTGATTTCAAATGCTTTGAGAGCTCTGGAGCAAATGCCCACACCCTTATATTACCAAAATGTCTCCACTCCCTTAATGGAATAGACCCAAGAAATATTGGCGCTCATGTCCTTAGAGGGACATTCAAAGCAGGGAACTTGAAAACTGCTGGTTGGCGACACTAGGCCTAAACCCTGTAGAGGGGAAAAATGCCACGAAGAACAAAGGTTGCTCCAGAATCCCTTCCTCTGCCTAAGGCTTAGTCCCAAAATCTATGGGACTCACTCACCTTGACGCCCCCCTAACGACATGATCGCCGAAATACTACATCATTCTACATATATAATAAACACATTGGGAATATCCTTGGCCATTTTGAGTGACGACAATGGTAGAAGTTTACTGACAAACTGATACTCAATGAAATCACGAATAGAGTATTCAGGTCAATAACTTACCATCCATTACAACTCGCTACACCGTAATGATAACCAGTTGCGAGATCGGAACACACGGCGCATAATTCACCTTCGGGTACTTTTCGCCCTAAAAATGTGCTTGAAATGCTTAAAAATCAGAAGAATTCATTCCAATTAAGAGCCCTCACGTTGTGCCATCCGTTTATATGATGGTGACGGGGCGAACGGCTTCAAATCGACACCATTCTGCAGACTTGTGTAGGAGAGTTGATTCTGCAGTTGCTCGGCAAGGTTGCCATTTAAGGCAGCCATGCTGTAATACAACATTCCCATGACTTCTTCAGACGTTGATTAGCGCCGTCTATAGACGAATAAGTACATAGAGAGTACGACAGTAATGGAGCAGGAAACCCTGTGATGAATGTGGTCAGGGTATTTGAGGTGTGTTCAGTTGCTAGTAGTTCAGTAATGTGCTTGGAGTAAAGAAGATGTCAGAAATGGTGACTGAGTGGCAGTTGGATACTGTAGCAGTAATAGTGGATGTAGCGTTACGGAAAAATGGCTGGCTCGAGCACGAACGGCACACACGCCGCCTAGGTATGGGAGGCAGCTAGGGGCGGAGCTGCCGAAGCCATCGTCGTCGGCACACACCACGCACACACACACACACAAACAACAACCGCGGCACTGCTGTGTGTTGGCTATAGAAGAAACCAAATTGGCTTTGCAAAGCAAAAACACCACAACAAATGCGCCAACGGCCCCACTCAGTGCCCACGACGCGAGCCTCCCACAGCCAGCGCAAAGCCGTCACTATTTCAAAAAGTAGTACCCATGGAAAAGTACACTTTCTCGAGTTGTTGCTCGTTCTTTGCTCGCAGCACAACGCGACAAAATGAATCGCCTCGGCCATTATTCGTAAACGCGTAGAATGATAAAATCGACTTAGAAAAATAGAAAGAACAGGCACTAGAAGATCGATTGGTGCAGTTAAAGAAGCAGAGTACGACTTTTCAGGAGCTATCATACCGACTCTTAAAAACTCTTTATTTTGTTGGCGATGAAAGCAGGGTCAAGCGTGACACGCAATCAACATAGAGAGAGGGCCGTAGTACAGTCAAGCGGTCGGAAGAGGGTGTTAGGGTGTTTGAAATAGCATCGGTAACCCTCCTTTCTGGAATGGTTAGCACTGCACGGGAAACACAAGACCCGGGTTCGTGTCCCGGATCCTAAGTTTTTTACCATAACTCATCACACTAAAGGGAGCCGATAGCGTCAAGGAGTTTAAAGGAGCCCGTTCCAGGATTTTTCAGCAAGATTCAAAACTTTCCGCGGAATTTAAAAAAAAATCCGCTAAATCTTCAATTTTCAATTTTCACTGCTTCCACTATAGTGATGGCATTCAGGTGAAGGAGGGCTTGCAAAAAAAGTTTTCAGCGGCACCACCCTGGCCGAGACTGAAGATGTCTCGCCCCTTTTTCAACGCTTAACGGTGGTTCAGTGAAAAAGTTCATCATTGCGAGGAAGACTGAGTGAAGAGAAGGATGATTAACGACTTTATTCTGGCGAGCGAGAGCAGGTTATGCTTACTGTACAAATAAATAGTATTGGAGAAAATGACATTATGTACCTAACAAAGGGGTCATTACCTGTAAAGAGAAAGAACAAAAGAAAGGAAGAAAAGAGATCAGTGGCTATTCCTGGTCCTCCTTTTTATCTCAAAACATCCCTTTACCCGGTGTTATTGACAGCTAGATATCTCAGTGGGCACCTGTTATGTTGTTTATGTAGGTGATCGCAGTTCAGCCAACATCGATCTCCTGTGAGGCTCAGGAGCTCGTGACTGACCCTCCCTCCTGCTCTCTGCCGGACCACGCAAGGATCAGCGGACTCTTCACCAGTTGCCCAGATATCTTTTGCTGATGGCGGGTTTGATTTTAATCGGGGATTGCTTACGCGCATGCAAATCACGCCTCGATTATGTGTGGTAATCACGGTGACGCCAAGCGCCAAGCCCCCCTGCCCGCTCCCCTACACCCCTTCAGCCACCGAAGATCATAGCGACCGAAAGAACACGGCTCGTGTTTCATGAAGTGGGCGACATGCGATAAATAATGGAGACACGACGGCATAAAGAGCAGCGTTGCCCAGAAAGGCAGATATGATAAGACGATCTGTACGTATCGATTACTTGCAAGGTGAAGAGAGGCGTTTGGACATACCCGTTCCCGTTCGACCATATTTACTTCGGTTAATCACGTATGTGAATGAGCACGTGAACAGTTTCGTACCTCTACGACATCTTCACTCTTCGCACGTGGACAACCTTGAACTTCGAGCTGCGGAACCGGTACCTTTACTCAAAAAAAAAACAGAAAAGAAAGTTTTTTCACATGAACACTCGACTCGTCAAACTTGTCGGCCACTCCCTAAATCTCATAAAAAACCATGAAATATGTAGTTGAACTTTGGAGAGAAAACAACGAAAATGGAAGTAATTTCTAGGAGGATGCCATCTTTTATGAAGAGATTAGTGTCTACCGTGAGCGTCAGCTTGAAAATGCCAAAGAATTCATATTATAGAAAAAGGGCAAATTCAGGACATGCCATAAAAAAGCTGGAGTCATATGTGAGATCTTATTGGAAAAGCTTGGACACAGCCCACGACCTTAATTACAAACCAGAAAAAGCGCAAAGATGTCTAGCGTTGATTTCTTTCTGTCAGTGACATCGCAGACAGCCCGCTTACTTCGATACTAGTCTTAGAATCCTAGAAAATTTCCTACCCGAAAACCTGAATCCCTACATCATGCCGCAAGAAACTAAGCCATAAGCGCTATCGCAATATATGGAAGCATGTAGGAGCAGTGCATCTAAAACCACGCAAAACATCAAAAGAAAAAAGCTAGGCCTTAGGTAAGGGAGGAGGAAGTTCAGGGGCATGAGCAATCTTCTTTCTCCTCGAAGTGCCTGCTCTCCCCAAGCCATAGTACCATGTAGAGAGTGCCCCGTATCTTGCGATAGCGCCAATACCTATTTGGCTACCTGGTCCAACTGACCGACAATGATCGTTACAGCACTTTAAAACAAGTACACATCGCACAGTGTGAAAATATGGGGTATTTCACCAGTATTACGAAAAGTTCTGCACAGTTAAGTATAATAGCAGTACTGAGCTGACAACCATTGACAATGCCTATCATTCGCGAAAAAATCGATATAAATTCACTACATATTTAAGTTCAGAATTTCCCTAAAGGCAGGATCTTAAATAATGATTGCATACAAGAATAAATTTACTCAATGAATACAAAATGTGAGGCTTACTAACAAGATTCTTCGTTCCGGGAACAAGTCTAGCCTGGTGTTGTCGACGCAGAAATTCGTCACACTAAAAGTACTAGTCAAAGAACATACGCTCGCTTATTGCTCTACTCAGTGTTACGGGCTACAACGATTGAGTGCTCATCTACAGCAAGGGTGGGGGGGGGGCAAGCGGACCTCTAAATCAAGAGCCAACGCTCGTTTCTTATTCCACTCTCAGTGTCGGGCAACAAAGCCAAGTCATGAATGAAGAAAATGTTCTTAAGAAATAGAGAAGATAGCTTGGTATGCCCCATGATGACGGGGAGGCCAGGCCATGCAGGAGAAATCGTTTTGGATGCGTTTACGTTAGGAACACCCGTATGCCAAAGATCACAACAACCATCCCATTGGCTTAGATCAGAGATCAGCGCGCGCTCGTAACAAATAACCTTCAGAACGGAACAGAGTACACCATTGCTGCAGCTAGGAATTCCCTTCACAATTTCGCTCCATGAAGCTCAGAAGGATTTTTCCATAAATGCCTGCGAATACAAGTCTTCAAGAAATGTACTGGAATTTATTGAAATCGTAATGTACATTTTTAAATTTGAATTTTTTTAAACTAAGAATCACATGAAATACCTGAAGTGTACTCGAGCTTAGATCCCTTTTGAAATGCGCCATGCATTAAACTTTCTTTGAGTCATGGGATGTAAAAAAGGCATTCGCAAGTACGGCCTTTAAGCAGATAACGATCTCATTATTTCTACCAGCATACCATACAGAATCTGAGACGTTTTACCTATTCCATATAGACAAATGAATTGATTCTAGTGATTCACTTTCATGGACAGCTTAGTGGTTACAAAATATAGTTAAAGATAGTAGCGCTACTACCCCTACCATCACTTTGGCAGCATCTGCAGTAAAAGTCGGTTCTGTAACAACAATAACTAATTAGTTACTACAATAGCATGCCGATCATCATCCCCAAAATGAAAAAATGAGCATTTCACAAGGCCTTACTACCAGGATGAGATACATGTCCAAGAATCCTAGACAATAAGACTTTCTCCTCTAGGTAAGGACCAATAACTCACCACTTCCTGCATGTTCCCCTTACCTTAAACCCTCACTTGCCCCATAAAATGTCGGCCCAGTTAAGGAAAGAATGGTGGCTCAACAGAACTGACTAAAAACTCACGATTCTTCAGTTTCTCAAAATTTCCCTGAAACGGAGTTTCACAAAAAGTTCTCGAAAGCCCTACACATCTTGACATTTAAGAAAAAACATTGCAGAGAGTACAATAAATAGTTAATTTGGTTTCAAACAAAATGTCGGAATAAAATTCAAAAAATTGAGCGGTTTATGAGCAATGGGTCTACAAGGAAGAACTATTCATTAAATTGAGTTGCAATAAAATTGTAAAGTTGTAAAGCAAAATTCTAATGAAGTTTATAAGGCCGTTACTACAGTAAAGACCGTTAGAAATAGAATTAGTAATGAAGTGATTGTTGGTGTTTTCTCTAAGAGCGAACATAAGTGACCATATTGTGGCCTTGAACTTACGGAAAGAATAACGACGCACAAGGTTCAATAATAAAAACAATAGCGACGAGATGGAGGAGATTACGTCCACAAACAAAACTTTTTAGATAAGTAGCTAATAAAAGAAGCAGTAGTGAACGCATCGTTGTGAGAAATGCAACAACGCGTGAACCGCTTCGATTGCCCTTCTCCATGGCCCGGGTGGGTGGAGCTAAGTTACGCGACGCATAGAGGCATAAGAATAGTTTCAAAGGGGATGGCACGAAAAAAAGATCGCCTATGAAAATGAAAGGTAGAGGTAGTAAGGGGTACAGTGATAAAGAAACGACTAAAGTCTGAAACCTGAAGACGGGACCCTTGTTTTCGCTTTGGATCTCCGTTTTGGGCTTGTCACCTCGGCGCTGACCTCAACACAGTGAGCGTTCCGCTCTGCTTCTCAGCTAAAACTGCTAGAGTATAACGACAAGTGACCACTGCT